AGGAGGAGGAGGAGGAGGCGGAGGAGGCGGGCGGAGGCGGAGGCGGAGGCGGAGGCGGAGGCGGAGGAGGAGGAGGAGGAGGAAGGAGGAGGGAGGAGGTAGGAGGAGGAGGAGGAGGAGAGGAGGAGGAGGAGGAGGGAGGAGAGGCGGAGGCGGAGGCGGAGGCGGAGGCGGAGGCGGAGGCGGAGCGGAGGAGGAGGAGGAGGAGGAGGAGGAGGAGGAAGGAGGAGGAGGAGGAGGCCGGCGTGGCGGCGCGGCTCTGGGCGCGCGGGGTGGAGGAGGCGACCGAGCCAGCGCTGCCTCGAAAGCCTCCTCGGGGATGCCTGCGCGCGCCGCCTCGTCGGCGAACAACTGCGGTGCCTCGACGCGGGCCCCCTGCAGATGGGCCTGGGCGAAGAGAACGTATGCGCGTGCACCGATCCTGGCAAGGCCCATCCTGGACCCAGGATCGGTGCATATGCCTTCCTGGCCAAGGTAGGAGGGCGTGTGCACCGATCCTGGGCTCAGGATGGGCCTGGCCAGAATCGGTGCATGTGCATGGTTCTTCTTCCTCTATCGGCGCGGCCCCTCGGAGGAGGAGCCACCGGCTGGGCCGCGAAGCCGGCAGCCGCGGGATCTCCGACTGGGCCTCCGCGCGGGCCATCGGCGCTCCCCCTTCCGGGGCCGCGGTGACGCCCCCCCCCCCCCCCCCGAGGGGGCGGGCCGTGCCCGACCGAGGCTTCGGTTGCGCGCCGAGGCGGCCCCGCGCCAGCGGGGGAGGCGCCTCTGGGGGCGGGGGGGCCCGCGCCAGAGGAGGGCGGCGGTCCTCGGCGTCGGCTTCGCGCTCCTGGCCGCCCCCCTCGAATGCGCCCGCGGACTGGTGCGGGGTGGGCCTCTCCGCGCCCGGCGCGGCCTCGCCCCCGCCCCCCTTCGAGGGGCGCGGCGCCGTGGATGGCCGCGGAGCCATCGCGGAGGCCGACGACCCCCGAGGGGGCGGCCAGTGCACGCGACCGCGGGCCGATCCGAACGGGGCCAGCCCGTCGGCGTCGCCCTCGTTCAGAGGGGCGAGAGTCTCCAGGTTCATCTCGGAGATCTCTAAGTCGACCGCCAACCCAGGGGCGGTCGTGCTCAGCGGGCGCGAGGCCGCCCGAGCAAGAGCACCCTGACTATCTGGACAAGGCCAACTCGCCCTGATGATCCTTCTGCCTCCGCCAAGCCGACACTGTCGGGGGCGCGGAAGGACCCGGGCAGAGCCGGCGTACTGCCCCCCTGGCCGAGCGGCCAGCGGGATCGCGGCGCCGCTCTCCTCGCCCTCGAACAGCCGCCAGCGATCGTAGCGAGTGGCTGACGGAGGAGCGAAAGGGTGAAGGTCGGACCAAGACTGGCCCATCAGGGATGGCGGGCCTCCCTGCCGCCGGCGCAGCGGCCGCCGTGGCCGGCGACGCGAGCGCTGGCCTCGGGGGAAGGAGCTGCGGGCGGGCCCTGCGCAGAGGGCCCGCATGCGCTCGCCTCGGCCCGCGCTCCGGGGCCGCAGAGACCAGGGCGCGCTGCGCGCCGCGATCGCCCGTCGGAGGGGCCCCGGTCGCGGTCCGCGCGCGAGGGGGGCCCGTCGGGCCCCGCCAACGGGCCGCCGAGGGCCCCGACGCAGCGGCCTCCGAGGAGGCTGCCGGCGGCAGCGGCCCCGAGCAGGGCCCGCGGCCGGCGAGCGCAGCGAGCGGGGCCGGCCCCCGCTGCTCGGAGCCACCGCCGGGCGGCCCGAGGCCGACGGCGGGGCACAGGCCGCGGCCCGAGGGGCGGGGGGCGGCGCCCCTTTGCCGCCCGAGAGGCGGCCCGCGCAGGCCGCGGGGCCCCCGCGCGGGAAGAGCCGGGCTCCGCAGGTTGGGGGGGGGCGGCCGGCGCGCGCGAGCCGCTCGTGTGGGGCGCGGCTCTCGCAGGCCCCGGGGCCGCGGCGCCCCCGCCCTCGCGACGTCGGCCTGGGCGGGCGCCTGCGTGAGGCGCCCGCCTCGAAGAGCCGCGCGAAGGCTCGGGCCGAGAAGCTACAGGAACCCGGGCTCGCGCGAGGAGGGATAATAAAGAGAGAGAGAGAGAGAGAGAGAGAGAGAGAGAAAGAGAAAGAGATAGCGAGAGAGAGAGAGAGAGATAGCGAGAAAAAGAAGGAGAGAGAGAGAGAGAAAACACATGCGTGGAGAACAGGTCGGGTAGGTCTCGGGTAATTGTGCCTTCCGCTGGAAATCCGAACGCGTCTGGGGGCTGGGTTCCGTAGCCGTAGGGTCGAACCGGCGCTTCGCTGGCTCGAGGGCGCATGTGCTCCCGAGCGAGGCTCACCAGCGCCTGCGCCGTCGCGGCCCGAGGAGATACGGACGTGGCGAGGCAAACGGCAATGGCGCGCGTCCTCGTCGGTGCAAGGCCCCGTAGACCCGGACACGCTAGACCCGGACACCCAACATCCCTCGAAACCAATTTTTCCAAACGGCGGCACGAACAAAATACTGCACTGCATCATTTCCAGAATAAACCCGGACACAGGCCCCCAAAGCCTGCAAGACACCCTTAAACCCGGACACAAACCCGCATCCTGCAGCGCAGCAAGCAAAACATGCGCGGGCGCCGAAAAACGTGACTTTGCAGGTAAGGATGCCGTTTCCTTGGTTCTCCGTGACCTGGTTTATCTGTGTCCTGGTCTCCGGGGGCCTCGGAGGGCAATGGGGGATGCTGCCGGATCCCTTCAATGACGCAGCGCAGCTGTCACGGGCTTCGATATTTTCGAGGGCGCCCGACGCAAGAATGAGGACTCTCTGATCTGGGAACTCGCTGCTGTGAAGATGTCAGTGATGATGATGAGAGGCCGATGGCGATCCCTCATCGGCGCTCCGAAAGCTTCGCGGTGACGCGCTGTGGGGATCGGGACTTCGCTGGGCCGCTGCGCCACGGGTCGGGATCTTGAACATCTTTTGCGTTGCTACTTTGCGGCGCCCCGCTGTGACAAGCTAGTGTTTTTGGCTGGGGACGATCCCAGAGTCCGTCGATCCCAGGCCCAGACGCACCGCCAATGGTACCGTGCTGAGATTCTAAAGAGGGTGCTGGGTGTCGGCTGACTGCCCCGGGAGAGATCCAAGAAGTTGGTTATCTTCGAGCTCGCGGGCCGAGTGCCCCGCTCGCGCCCTGCCGCCCGCGTGGAGGTTTCAAGCGGAATGGGCAAGCGGCTGGCAAGCTGCTTGCCTGTTCTAGCTTTGAATTCAGAGGCCCGCGCGGCATATCATACTTCTGAAGGAGGGGTGTGCTCGATGACAATCATCGCCGCCGCGATGTAAAAATGCGTAGCGTTTCCACAACAGAACGGGCCGACACATCGAAAGTACAGGCCTCCTCTGTTTGAATATGGCAGGGGAAAGTTTCGGCTTCCATATTTTTAGTCCTCCGTTGAAAATCCGAGAGCATAGAAGAGCTGGGCTCCGTGGGCATTGGCTCGAGCCAGCGCTGTATTGTCTCGAGCACGATTCTGTTTCCGAGCGAACCTCAGTGGCGCTTGCGTCGTCGAGGCGCACCTGTCTGTCCCTTGGCCGCACTGGTGCCCGCCTATCGCCTGAGAGCTAGGCTTAGATCGGGAATGTCCCCCTACAGGTGGATTTTGGACGAAACGTAAAACATAGTAAAACATGCGCCGGAATCGCAAAAAATAATCACACAATCGTCCCCTGACTATTTTTTGATTCTTTTTGAATATTCCTCCTGTAGAGGGACACGCCCGACTTAAAACTAGGCGCACGACAGGGAGCAATTCATCAGCCTCCGCCCGTCGGACAGGCCGCCCCAGGAGCGAATACTCCGCTCGGATAGCGTTGTGCAGCAAATCAGCGATACTCCTCCTTCTTCTTCACTTCCTCCTCCTCCTCCTCCTCCTCCTCCTTCGTCGCCTGATCCCCAGTCGTTTCGACGCCTTGGCTCGAATCGAGGTGCCGCAAGCGACGATCACGGCCTGCCACCTGCATGTATCGCAGCCGCAAAGCATCGCATCGCACCCTGCACAACACGAATCCTTCTGATGAGGCTCTGGGCACGGTCGCTGCCGCCCTGACCGCCGCCGTGCCGACGCCCACCGCTCGTGTCCATCTCCCTGCAGTGCCCCCCTCCCCCCTACTCCAGAAGAAAAAAAACACGTAAACGTAAACTTTTGGCGCTCCACTTTGAATTCTTGGATCTGCGCTGGACCCCCCGCCCCTGGCGCGCGGGAGCGCGCCAGGGGCGGCGCCGGAGCGCGCCGCCGGGCGGCCCAGGCGCGGACCCAAGAAATCCGCGCGGAGCGCCGAAAGATTTGTGTTGATCTGGTTTTTCTTCTTCGATGCTCTCCCTGCGCCCCCCTCCGCCTCCTCCTCCTCCTCTTCCCCCTCCTCCTCCTCCTCCTCCTCCTCCTCCTCCTCCTCCGTCGCCTCCTCGCCATCCTACTCTTCCTCCTCCTCCTCGTCGTTCTCCTCCTCCTCCTCCTCCTCCTCCTCCTCCTCCTCCTCCTCCGCCTCCCTCCCTGTCCCTGTCCTGCCCTACCATTCTCGGAAGCCGGGCAAGGGCTGCTAAATCCGTGGCTGCCGAAGTCGACCTCCGGGAAGTTGTCTTCGTCCTTCCGGGAAGAAGCCAGGTTGACTGTTTCGCGTGCCGCGCCTCATTCCAGGAAGCTGTTTTTTCCTTCTTGGAGGGGGCCGTTTTAGCAGCCACGGTTTTTAGCAGCCCTCGCCCAACTTTCGACACTCCCAGACATCCGACGTCTCGATTTTTTCGAGACACGGGCCCCCGACCTCCCGACCACTTCCCCAGGACTGGTCTTTCGCCCCGAGTCCTTTTTTGACGGTCCCGAGGCCCGGCGAGGGCCCCGAGAGGCCGAAAACGACGAAAAACCTCCGTCTCGATTGTTTCGGGACGCCCGATGTCCGGGCTCCCTCCCTCCCAGCCGGCACCCCTCTCCGCAGCCGCGGCGCGAGGCTCCAGCCTGTCTCCGCCGCGGGACGGGGCCCCTCGGCGCTGGCGAGGGGTCACCGCACCGGGACGGACATGCGCTCGAAGTCCTGCAGCTCGACGGAGACCTCCTCGGAAGGAGGCGCATCGGCATGCAAGCCCAGATTCGCAATTTGTGGCCTCCAAGGGCCCTCGCCGGGCCACGGGA